CTTTCCTTCAAATATTTCTTTCTTTTTCATTGGAATTCTTTCAGTCTTGGTTGTTTATTTTTATATTGGTTTGTACATTTTGACCAAAATATCCCCTTACTGCTCTCCTTAAAGTCCCCAAAATATACTCTTCAGGTTCAGTTTCTCTTCAAAAAAGGCCAGGCAGTTATATATGAACTTTCAGTCAAACTAGGCAACTCCTCTCTTATTGAGGATGGATAAGACAACTTTGTAGGAGGAAAGTATCCCCAAATCTGTCAACAGAGTCAGAGACAGCCCCTTCTCCCACTGATAGGAGTCCTGCAAGAAGACCATGCACAAAACTCTAACATATATGCAGAGTGCCGAAGTCCATCCCATGAAGGCCCCCTGGTTGTTGATGCAGGTTCTGCGAGTCCCAGTAATGATAACATTGTTGATATCATGGACTTCCTGTGGTGACCTTGACCATTCTTTCTGCCATTTATGTTCTTCTCTCTCTTCAGCACAGTTTCCAGAGCTCTCCCTAATATTTTACCATGGGTCTCTGAATGTATGTATATTCATCAGTTTCTGTGTAAAACCTGGCTGATAACAATTGGACTAGGTACCAAACTATGAAGACAGCAGATCATTATCAATCATTTCATTATGTTTTGCCAGTTGTGTTTGTTTATATACGTTATATTTGGGCTACCCTAGCTCTAGGTCCTGAAGCTCTAGGGAGTGTCAAAGTAAGACTCCCTTTCATGGTTACAAGCTGGATTAGTTATTACTTGGCCACTCCCACAGTTTCAGAGCCACCTTTACCTCTTCACATCCTGGACCTTAAAATTGTAAGTAGAAGGTTTTGTGGCTGGGGTTGTATCCCAATCCCTCCATTGGAAATGTTGCCTAGTTATAGAAGATGGCTGTTTCAGGCTCACCATTGCTAGGAGTAACGCTCATAAATTCTTGGAATTATCCATTGCACTAGGATTCTAGCTTGTCTTAGAGATGGCCCTCATTTCAATTGTTATTCTTAGTAGAGTATCCCTCCATCATCTCCCCTTTGACCCCTTCTTTTCATTTCCCTACTCACCATCCAGACCCCTCCATCATTTTACAGCAATGATCTATTCTATTTGCCCTTACAATGACATTTATTATTACCCCATTAATACCTCCTTGTTACTTAGCTTTTCTCGATCATAGTTACTTTGTGGTTTGCTAATATCTATTTATAACTGAACACCTACCATCTTTGTCAGTCTGGGTTATCTCATTCATAATGATAAATTTACATCCATTTCCCAACAATTTTCTGATATCTTTATTTTTAACAGTGGTATAATATTCCATTGTGTAAATGTAGCACATTTTCTTTATCCCTTCTTTGTTGTAGGCTGTCTAGATTGCTTACAGTTTCTGGCTATTATAAATAAAGCTTCTATGAACACAGTTAAGCAAGTCTTGTATTGCTGACCATCCTTTGGGTATACACACAGGAGTGTTATAGCTGGGCCTTGAGGTTAAATCAATTTCCAATTATTAGAGAATATTCCATGTTTATTCATTACAAAAGTAGCTGTACAAGTTTATACTCCCAAAAGCATTGGAGAAGTGCTCCCTTTACATCATATCCTCAATATCATGAGCTGTCACTGTGTCTTTGACCTTAGCCATTCTGACTGGTGTAAGAAGCAATCTCATAATATTTTAATTTGCATTTTCTGTTGGATAAGTATGTTGAACATATTTAAAAGTGATTTCCAGGAATTTGAAATAACTTTTTTTGAGTATTCTGTTTATATACATCTCATTTAAATAGATTATTTGGTTTGTCGACTTTTAGTTTCTTGAGATCTTCATAATGTTTTGGAAATAAGCACTCTGTTTCCTGTGGGTTTGAAAAAGATCTTTTTTCATTCTTTAGGTTTTCATGCAGAAATTGATCACTTTAATTAGGTCTCATATATTAACTGTCAACCTTAGTGTCTATGATATTGGTTTTCTTTTCAGGAAGTAGTCTCCTGTGATAAATTAGGTAAAGTATGTGGATTTATGTTGAGGTCTTTGATTCACTTCAACTTGAGTTTTGTGCAGGGTGATAAAAATTGGTCTATTTGTATTCTTCGAACCAATGTCATCCACTTAGACCAGCACAATTTGTTGCTGATGCTTTTCCTCATCAATTGCATACTGTTAATTTCTTAGTTAAAAATAAGTTGTCGAGCCTTCCAATAGCCACTGGAAAAAGGAAGAAACCCCATCTGCACTGAATGGAAGAAGAGATGGGAAGAAGACAGAGTAAGAACACACTCAATGACAGAAAGACCAATATGGCATCACCAGAATCTATGGACTTCACACCAGCAAGATATGAAAATACAAACACAGAGGATGAAGAAGAGATGGACCTCAAAAATTATCCTAGGCCCTTTCTGCCTACTGACCCAGGAACTAGGTGAGTGACCTCTGCCCTTACCTAACTCCCGCCCAAAACATCACTCACCACTACCACCCACCCTCCCCCATGTGCCTGCTGGCTTGGTGTAACAAGCCCATCAGGGAGAACCTACCTGCTCCCTGAATCTGGTAACACCCCACTCTTCCATCTCTTTCTGGCAACTGATCCACAAAGAGTGAGGAGACTACCAGGAGAGGCAAGATCATCCAGAGTTGTGGACATTGAATTCCTGGTCCCCACACAAAACTGGGTCACAATAGGAGATAGAGGGACCCCACCTGCACCCACTATAAGAAAATATGGGAAGCAGACATAATAAGATTTCATTCAAAAAAAGAAAGAACAATATTACACCACCAGAACCTAGGGACTCTACTCCAGCAAGACCTGAAAAGCACAACACACACCATGAAGATAGATGGACTTCAAAAATTATCTCAGCAAGATGATAGAAACCTTTAAAGAGGAAACAAGAAAATCCCTTAAAAAGTAGAAGAAAAAGCAAACAAAAAATTAAACGAAATGGAGGAAAAAACAAACAAAAAAATTCAAGAAATAAACAAATCTCTTAACGAATCTAAAGAAACCCAAGAAAAACATCCAAAAAAGTGAAGGGAGTTCTTGAAATAATTCAAAGCATAAAAGCTGAAATAGACAAAATAGAGAAAACACAGAATGAGGCGATGCTGGAAATGGAAAGGCTGGATAAAAGATCAGGAACTAAACATGTGAATATAACCAATAGAATTTAAGAGATGAAAAAGAGAAACTCAGGTATTGTAGACTCGCTGGAGGATATATATTCATCAACCAAAGAAAACCTCAAGTCCAAAAAATCCCTAACACAAAATATCCAGGAAACATGGGACACCATAAAAAGACCAAACCTAAGAAAAATAGGTGTAGAAGAAGATGAAGAAACACTGATCAAAGGTACAGAAAACATTCAACAAAATCATAGAAGAAAACTTCCCCAGCCTAAGGAAGGATATGCCTATAAAAGTAAAAGAAGCTTACAGGACACCAAGCAGACTGGACCATAAAAAGAAGTCCCCCCAACACATAATAATCAAAACACCGAATCTACAGAATAAAGAGAAAATATTAAAAGCAGCAAAGGAAAAAGGCCAAGTAACATGAAAGGCAAACCAATCAGAATCACACCCGAATTCTCAATGGAAACTCTGAAGGCCAGAAGGTCTTGGATAGATACCCTACAAGCACTAAGGGAGCATGGATGTCAACCCAGACTACTGTACCCAGCAAAACTTTAAATCACTATAGATGGAGAAAGCAAGATATTCCATGACAAATCAGATTTAGACAATACATATCCACAAATTCAGCACTACAGAAGGTTCTATTAGGAAAACTCCAACCCAATGAACATAACTACACTCACAAAAACACTGGCAATAGATAATCTAATTTTACCAATCACAAAAAGAAACAGGAGGGCAAAATCCACACCCAATGACACCACCAACAGTAAATCCAAAACAAAGAACCAATGAAAAATGGACATTAATATCCCTAAATGTCAGTTATCTTAATTTACCCATAAAACAATATAGGCTAACAGAATGGATACAAAGACAGAATCCATCCTTCTACTGTTTACAAGACACACACCTCAATTTCAAAGACAGGCAATACCTCGGAGTAAAAGGATGGGAAATAATTTTCCAATCAAATAGGCTCAAGAAACAAGCTGGTGTAGGAATCCTAATATCTAACAAATTAGACTTTAAACTGAAAGCAATCAAAACAGATGAAGAAGGGTATTTCATACTCATCACAAGAAAAGTCCA